CGGAGATATTGATTTACTATTTTAAGCTTTCATGGGATAACAAAATCCCGAAATAAACACGAGAGATATTTAGAATGGCACATCTCTTCTCTTTCGCGTTACGTGAGTCTATCTGCGAAATAACGTTTACGAGACACGCAACCACCTGTTTTTACATCAAATATTTTATATATATCATACAGCGAGCAAATCCTAATCAGCATCAGGGATTGGACACTTTCAAGGTTTTCAACGATCGGCTTTGCTTTTTGAAGCGCGTACCTCCCCCTCTCCCATCCAAAACCCCCTAAGTACGACTTCGCACAGACGGCATTCACTTTCACCTCGCATAATTTATTCTATACCGGAGCGTAAATTGGAGGCATTTGGCGTATGTAAGTCGCCAATTTAATAGCGCGATTACGAGGTGAGACATACACTCCTTTTTTTTTCTCTCTCTTTCTACCGAGAGACTACTTTAACGACGCCGATGTGTACTTTATATGCCACGAGGAATGCATCTTGCGCGTTAATATCATTCGACTTTCCATTCGCTGCGTTCTATGTCTCCCAGCAGTGCAGAGAATTTTTGCGCGCACAAGAGAGAAAAAAGAGGGGAAAAAAAAACGAAGATCCTAAGAACGGCGCGAATATTTGAATCGTGATTTGATTTTATAATAAATTTACGTATTATCGCTCAAATCTACATTAACCTTAAAATCTCGCGATAACCTGACTCCTATTTACTACCGTTCGGGCGTTTCTTATCTATAAAATTTTGTCATTTTTTTATTATGCACGATGAAAACACAACGTAGTGGTTATGGAAATCGTTTATGAAAGAACAGAGACCAAAGGAGTGGAAAAAAAAAAACAGTCGAACAAGGTATAGTTTGGAAGATTTGTAAGGAAAGTTTCACAGCATTTTTAGTTGTATAGGAAAATCTCTTTGCAAGAAAGGTTGTTTAAACGTCTTAAATCGCTCCGAACATAGAAATAGTCATTTAAATACAACGAAACGTACGCATTGGAAACAAACAAAAAAAAGGATGAGAAAAGAAAGATAGAAGGGAAAAGAAAGGGTCAGATAGAAACGTCAGGCAAAATCATTACAATGGACAGGAAATCGTTACAATAACCCAGCTTTTCTTTTTAGATATTTCTTTTAAAAATAACTTTCCCAAAGTAGGTAAGAAATATTTCGAATGATTAATGTTTTCTAAGAGATTTCTTTTTAGAACATTTTCTTTATGCTAAAAATGAAAACTTCTCCAGGAGAAACTGTCTGTAAAAATCTCAAACTACAAAATTTTTCGTAGACCAATGAAAAAAAAAAGATCAACATTATTTAAATTGAAAAATAACTTCGCCGATTTAACAAAAGTATTAATGAAACAAATAAAATTTTATTAAAACGAGAATACAACGTGTTTGTTTCATTAACAGTGTTGTTTTATGTGTGAAATAACAAAATTGTTTTCAATTAAAATAATGCTATTGACATAACTTTTCCAGTGTATAAGATTATTTTAAAAAAAAGAAAACATAAAATATTTAAGTTACAAGCAAAGGCCTTGATAACATGTGTATACACACACACACACACACACACACACACACACACACACACACACACACACACACAAATAAGACAGCTCGATGAAAATATTGATAGCGCGATAACTTTAAAAAATTCCGTATACATTCTAGAATTTGATGTACACACTACAAATTCTTTTTAGGTAAATTAAATAAATAAACGTTAAATCGATCAAACCGCTCATTCAATATATAATGTTTATCATTCAATCTCTTTAATCTAAATAACAATTCGAGCCCATGACACTCCGTTTAGCCTTCAGATTAACAAGATGGGTATAGTAAAAGAAAGTAATAAAAAGGGCGAGATGGATTTTCTCCCCGCTTATAAAATACATACAAGTGGTCGTTATACAGCCCGGTTTCTTTCGGTTCGGGTTATTCGAGTTTCGAGAAGGAACAGCTGTACTTCTCGCAAGGGGAACGCCCCTTTTCTTACGGGATACAGCCGACACAGCAGCAACCCGAACCCTTGCGAACATAAGGGATTCGAACCTTGTTGCGCTTTTTTAAACGACCTTCTTCATTCTTCTCTCTCTCTCTCTCTCTCTCTCTCTCTGTTTCTCTGCGTAAGTCTCTCGTTTGTTGTACTTTTAAACTCTTCGTAGGATCGTTCATTCAAATGTTTGGTCGCTGCTAGCAGACGGAATGTCGGAGCGGGAAAAATCTCGGTTCGTGAAGATGCTTCACATGTTTGATATACTATTTGTCACCAACAATTTATTACGTCTTAAGCAGATAATTCTCAATATCGCCGATGTATTATTACTTAAGAGTAGAAAAGAGATATCCAACTCGACGCGATAACTTCAAGTTCTCGGTTATCTTTCTCGTAGATGTTTAAGATTAATTAAAATAGATGTTTAATATTAATCGAGATAAATAGATGCGGATGAAATTGTGACTTTGCTATCTGTTAATTTTAGACGTGACGTCAATTGTTATCATTATTTTATCAAAGTAGTTAGTCGATTCAATGATCCGAAACGGACAGCTGGTAGGGATAAACATTAAAATCTCATTACTTAAACGAGTTCGAGCGAATGCACGGCTTCGAAAACTCATAGAATCTATTTGCGACGGAAACTTTCCGCGATCGGTATTCGCAGCGCGTAAATAAATATTCATCGCGATAATACGAAAAGTCGATTTTCGCGTCAAGTGTCGTTTTCCCTCCCCCGCCTGTTTGAAAATACCGGACGGCGAAAATGTTTAACATCGAGATCGTTTTCCGGTTGCTTTACCGGCACGTCGCCGCAACGTGTACAATTCGCGTCGAGAGAGAGAGAGAGAGAGAGAGAGAGAGAGAGGCGAATTACAAGTCACGTAATAAAAGTGAAACAAAAAGACGAGATATCGACGATATCCAAAGCGGCGAGGTTGCATACGAAATTTCTCGCTATCTCGCGATATCTCGGGGATATAAAGGCACTCGTACATTCAACGACGATATTTTGACGAAGGCACGCCCCACCCGTGCCACGGCTCCTCTACTTTCGAATCTCGTCCGGGAGGTTAGAATCAGCTGATGTAAGAATTCGCAATCGCTTTACAACGCTTCATGCTCGTTAGACCGCGTATATTCCTCGGTTCAAAATCGCGCGCGGTCGGAAAATCGCCAAGTTGTAAAAATAAAAAGAGGGTGGAGAAAAAGGGGCAGATATTCGCCCCATTCGAACGCTCTAGAATATAGCACTGGAAAATTCAACAAATTGATAAAACAAATTTGATTACAAGTAATGGAAATCAAATCAAATTAACGGTGAAAAGAAAATAACAACGATCGAAAATACGTAGCAAAATATTGTTGTAATAAAAAAATACCGATTAATTGATTGATTGAATCGGAATTTATTGGGCGCTCCGAGATACAGTCCCCTCAAGCGCTTGTCAAAAACATTATATAAAATACATTGTAAGAACAGAGAGACTATAAGTCGCAAAAAGTATGGGTTTTTTCTTTTAAATAAAATCAGGGAAGAAAATAATATATCGGCAAACGAATATGAGAGTCTCAACTCTCAAAAGACGCAAGTTGATACACTCGAGAAATGAAAAACTATTTAAGGATCTCTCCTGCTAAATGCAAACTACTTAACAAATTATCGCATCAAGAGGTAAAGCATAATAGCGAGTACATCATAATCAAGATAAGAGAAAGAGAGAGAGAGAGAGAGAGGAAAAAGAAAGAGCGAGAGACAGAAACCACGTGTTGCAATTTTTTTAGGCCCCGGCTGATTCGGTCGAACCGCCGACACGTATTTAACAATCATTGAGAATTACGGGTGGATAAAAAAAATAGGAAAACTCGCAGACGAGCGCGGCCAGGAGATTAACTTGCAGAAATCTTGCCATCTGCGACGGTGACGTGACACTACGCGACGAGATGATTCATCTGTTTTCACGCTCTCGTGGTGGATCCTTGCAAGATCCTCGCGATTACGTCGGAGGAGTATTTGGAAAAAGATTCCCGTATCGTCCCGTCGGAGACTCCGTACGCGCGAAAATGCGTTCGAATCCCGTTACGCGCGTACGGGCTGGACTATTTATTTATTTATTTTTTTTTTATTCAACACTGCTCGTTCTCGCGCTCTCGTGTATTACGTAATTTGCCGTTGTCAAAGCAGCAGACGTGTCGACATCGCGCGCGACTCGCTCGCTTAACTCGCTCGGCGCCGCTGTTACTCCAAAGCCGCAGAGAAAAAGGGCGACCGCATACCGAGACGGAGGGAAGCGTGTCGAATTTTCGGAGTTACCGGCCTTCGAGAAAATTCTTCTTGAAACGGACGTAAAAAGGGGAGGAAGAAAAGAAGAAAGAGAGAGCAGCTGTTCGGCAAAGAATCAAGTGGCCCTCTCTCGAACGTGATCTTGGAGGAGAACGGATTACGAGAAGAGACAGAGAGACAGAGAGAGATAGAGAGAGAGAGAGAGAGAGAGAGAGAGAAAGAGAAACATATGGAGGAGGGAGCGGTGCAATAATTAAAGAGAGGGGAAGCTGAGGGGAGAGAGAGAGAGGGGCGGGGGGGAGGGGGGGAAGGAAGAACCGAGCCCCTCGAAGACGTCTTCCCAGACGTCGGCGACGGGAAGACGTCGTCGCGACGAAATTTCGCACGAAATATGGCGAGCAAGCAACACGACACGATCGGGTGTCTCTCGCCAAGACTCTTATTCTCTCTCCTTGGCACGATATTACGACACACGTACGCAGACACGCGCGCGCATACACACCACTGTTTCTCGCGGTGACACGCACGCACACACGCACGTACTTACGTGCACGTATGTGTGCGCACCGCACGCACACATACACACGCACACGCACGCGGTGAGCTCGCGCGCACGCGCGCGCGGGCGAGTGCGACGATCCTAGCCTCCCTAAACGTGCTAGAAACACCGACGGACAGGGAAGAAAACGCACTCACCTTAATCTTGAGGTACTCCCTGATGGCACGTTGCGACGAGTCGGTGAGCTTGACAAATACCAGGGATTTGCGCTCATCGAAATTGCCGTGCGACGACAAACCATACTGGACATCTGGCACCAGCGCCATTTCTTCGTCTCCCATTTCGCCGTGTGCGGCTTCTCACCGTCTCGCTCGCTCGCTCGCTCGCTCGCGCCGCACCGTCTTCTTTCGTCCCGCGCGCACGACTCGCCGTCCCCTTCGGCGCACCACACAGCTGACGTCCTCGGCTCGTCTGGCTACTCGGGCAACGCCGTGAAGCAGCGCACGACGACAACGCGCCTTCTCTCTCTCTTCTTCTCTCTTCCTCTATCGCACGACACTCGAGCGCCTTTCTGTGTTCCAGCCTCCCTTTTTTTTCTGTTTCTCTCTCTCTCTCTCTTCTCGTCTCTTTTCTCACCACCCCTCGTTGAACGCACGAATTTTCGCGCGGCGCGATATTCGCGCCGTACGGCGCGCGGAACGTAACACCACGAGACGACGACACCCGATGATGACGGATATCTTCAGCCGGAACTCTCGACGCGAGACGAGACGTTCTTTCGCGAAACGTGTTTTTCCTTCTCGCCACGCTCACACCATCACCTCCACCGCCGTCGTCGTCGTCGTCGTCGTCGCCTCCTCCTCCTAACAGCGCTCTTCCTCTCCCGCACAGTTTGCTGTATGCTCTTTGCTCTCCTTCTCTTTCGCTCTCACGACTGTCGACACACTATACTCGCGATCGCTGAGGCTCCCCCCCGCCCCGGATACACGATACCGCAGCTTTAACACCCCGTGGATGATGTTTCTTTTTTTTTTTTTTTTAACAGCGAACCACCCTCGTGCGCGTTCGCGATTTCCCACCTGCTCCGATCTTTCTCAACCGTCGCATATTACCAGACCGACGCGACTCAAAACCCCGTGGTTTCTTCCTCCTACAAACTGAACGCCGAAAGTCCCCGATAGAATAGATGAGAAACAGCGCCCGTCGTTTCGCCGCAAGGAAACACGACTACACACTTTCGAACGGCCACCTGGTAGGCGGGGCTTGTGGAAGAGCCGTTCGACCAATTGCGTCGCGCGCAACCGGATAACCCGACAGTCGAACCAAGGACGACCTCGCCGTCCTCGCGCGGTGACGGCCAACGATCGACTACCTGCCGGCTTTTCCCGTTCCGCGCCGCGTACCGTTGCCGCCACCTGTCGGCGCCGCGTGGATTTATAGCGAATTCGGTTGGACTCACTAGTGCATATTAAACCGAATTAAAGCTGTTATACACTAGTGTACACTTAATGCTACTACGCTACAACTCTCTTTCTCGCTTTCGACAAATATCTAGCATATATCTGTCTCACTTCAAGTTTCCAAAAGTGTACGCTTGTTCAGCCACAGAAAGCAGACCTTAGGTCTGTTCGCGTTGCGCTTGAAATCTTACAAAATTTGTGCAATTAAAATGAGATAGATATGTGTGCATGTACAATTATAAAAGTGGTTTAAATAAAAAGTCAAAATGTATTATTCTATGTATAATATTTTTTATTCTAATTTATTTATTTATTTATTTTTTATTTAAAATACTTTCATAATTATCAGCACATATTTGGTTCTGAAAGAAGAGAAAGCAAAGACACTGAGTGCAAAAATATCTATTGTATTCGATATCTTTCGCTTTCTTTTTCTTCGATTCCCAAGTATATATTTATCTTATTTTAAATGTAAAATTTGGGGTTTCACAAGCAAATAAAACCTATTCTGTGTAACAAGTAAAACGTAAATATTTCGAATTACAAAATACATATTTTACTTAACAATACAATAAGATATATTGAAAATTTCATGGTTTAGTCCGTTTTTTGTATTTGAGACATTCGTTAAACTGGGTAACTTTAAATCGTTATTTTTCTTTTCTTTTTTTTAAATTTGCTGACCATGTCCTACAAATAAAAATATGAGACACTTGTTTCGAGAAAAAAATTTTAAATTCCTGGTTTGACGTGGAATTTATATTATATTTTATTTATATTAAATACATATTTTTACGTCAATTTGTGTACAACGGCTTTAATAATGCATCCAATCTATCCAATCAAATTTGCTGATAATTCTTCTCTCTTCATAACGGCGCACGAGAATTTAAAAAAGAGTTTGAGAAGATCTCTTTCTACAAAATGTGCTTACTCACGCAGATACGGAAATTTGTTAGGTTATCTCATCGCGCATTGAAATGCTATGTTTATAACAATATAATTAAGCAGAAAGGACAAAACACACGTTCAACTGCGAAGTTCATTCGGCGCGCGTGACTAGTTACTTTTACGAGTGAAAAGCATGAAGTTAGCCACCAGTACTTCGATAGAATTCGACATTTCGATATTAAAACCACAAAAATTGATTTCCGATCGAATGAATCGATGATTCGGAGAACGAGGGCAATTTTTCATAATGTGAATTTTGACAAATTTCATAAAATTGATTGATCAGCTGTGTGCCATCTAGAAATTTTTCGAACAAACCACAACTTTGTTGGCGTCACTGTTGTTTTGACGTAAGAGGTCTCATTACGTCTTGATCGAACAAAATAATTTGGTTATCTCGTGGTTCTTCGACACTTGTTTGAAAATGTACCAAACATTCCTCGGTGCCATGGCTATATTAATGATGATAGAAATGAACATCTCTCTGACCACCGATTGGTGGTGGGGAGCGAAAGATCCATTTGGTCCATATCCGAGAATACCGAATAAAGATTTGGTCAAGGTAACCTTTGCGATTGTTGTGATTTCAAATTTCTAAGTTCAGATTTCTCCAACGGTAGTCAATTTAATTTTGAATGCTTTTGACTAAGAGACACAGATGAGACAGTGCTTTCTATTTATATTAAAACTTGGGTCGTTTTCGTTTGTGACGTCATCTAACCTAGAAATACATGTTCTTTTTCATTCTGACAAGTGAGATTCAACTAAATTTTTACCTGCAATCTGCACAAACTCAAAACTATGTACTTTACTGAGTTTTGTTAACTTGCTTAAAAATTAAGGCTTTAAAACCTGTGTTGTTATGCAATAACTTTGTCACCGAAATAAATAAGTAATGATACGCATCATCTGAGTACAAAATACTCGTGTAATTTTAAATCAGTATTAATTATGTAAAATTGGAAAGCAATCAGTGAATCATCTTTGTTTGCCAATGTTAAACAAAGATAAAATGATCATTTTGTTATACTGTACTTCTTACTGGAAAGCACCATGTAACTTCAGGATAATTTTGTTTGAAATTAATATCGATCATCATTAGAAAAATAATTATTATATATGAAATCGTTTTATTATTTATTTAGATACTTTCGATGTAAGCAACGATGTCATAATTATTATTTATTATTACAGAGAGAAATTGCATTCGCAGAAGAGTGCAGGAAATTTATGACTGCACCTAAAGATGAATGGTATTAGAGGAACTTCATTAACTTTAATTATAATACAGTGAATATGTATACGTTTTTTCCTTGGGAAAATGTAGTAATAAATAAGTGTTATATTAATTTATAATATAATATTACTTGTGTTTTGAATTAGAATTTAAGGAAATCATGAAAAGACCTTTTTACATTTTTTTATATATTTGGATGCTTCCCACTTAGTGACACAAGTTGACACAAATATTGTATCTTTCTTGGCATTCCATAAAAAACAAAAACAAAACGATACTTATTATCAACTTGTCATCAAATGAAAAATACTTATTGTCGCTTGATAAATCAATTTTCTATAATAATTGTGATTTGAAATAGCACAATGCTATGACAGACACATGCATATTTTTATCAAGTGTTCTTGAGAAATGTCAGATGTATTATATTTACCAAATTTTCAATTTTTGTCGATAGAAGTTTTATTGATACATAATATGAAAGTAATTTCATTTATAAAGAAAATGATTCTAGTATTTTAATACTTACTGAAAATGTGTCATCTTAATGTGTGGGAATAAAAGTCGGTATTTTAAAAATATTTCTAAAATCTTTGCAGCTTGCAAATTTCAATTTAATATAATTTGATCGCTTTACATGAAAAGTATTACAAAGGATGGAATAAAGAAGGATCGTGGAGACAGCCCCGGTGACAGAATATGGAATAACTTCAGAGGCAAGTGTTTTCGGATAAGTTTATTAGAGTCCCTGGATTACCTTCCCCTGAGGCAGCTTATCCCAATAAGAAAGCCATCCTTTCTACCCCTCGCTCAACGGTACGCACCGTCTTAATACATTGCAAGTTTCACTTTCACTTTTCGTTTCGCTATTCCACTTTAAGAGCACCCTTCGGATATGGTACATTGATCGCAAAAACGAGGAACGAGAGAAGTGTGCGAACGGACCACGGGTGGGGAAATGCGAAATTAAGAATTGTCATATCGAACTCGTTTACTTTTCTCTTAGGACGTCAATCATAAAATTTCGTTACTTTACAGAATCGCTAGAGGCACGATAGCGGCTGCACCGGATCGTCCGAGCTTTTATAAGTACAAGCTCGTCTTCGTATTTTCGGACCGATTCTGCCAACCTTGATTTAACAGCTTTACTTATAATTAACTAAATTACGTCCATTATACATATTATTCTACATATTACGCTCTATAATCTAGAAATAAACAATCACTTGTTATTACAGAGAATTGAACGACGTTAATAGAATCATTTCTCGAAAATCGACGAGATTTTTTCGAAGATCAAAATTCGGGCGAAATGCAACCGCTACGATTCCTCCTCGCGATACAAACAACTTTACCATAGGCAACGTGATTTTTTTTAAAAAACATTTACAACGCGGAAGTATATACGACGATGCAACGCAACGCAATCAATTTTGTAAAATCAGCGCCCGTCTCCGTCTGTCACAATACACTAACACAATGTCAACGAAATTGTATTCTGAAATACTTACAACAATATTTTTCTTTTTTATGTACAATTATCCCAAGAAGACCGGAATACTTCTAGTTCCACTTTTCTGTTTCTTTGTTTTGTCGCAACAAGATTATACATGAAAAATGGCAAGTAAGATGTATTTCGTTTCTTTTTTTGTTTTTTCTTTTTTTTTTTTTTTGAAGAATTCTTTCTCATGCAAAATTGTTCTGAAAAAGATTGGGGTGTGTGAATATTCTCATTCGCTTTACTTCTCGCTCAAACCGTTTACCTGCGTACTTGTATTTGCACAAAATGAAAGTGGAAAACAAAAAAAAATGGCGTAGCGTGTTGTAACCAGGGTCACCAGATCTTATACCCGACATTCCCAGGACATGTCTGAGGCGATGGTTGAAAAATGGATTATTAAAGTATTTGAGTTAAATTTTTCAGTTAGTATCCTCACATAAATCACATGGATTATGGTTTATGTGGAGATACTATGTGGAGATACTGAAAAAATATATATAGTACTTTATTCAAGTACTTTAATCATCCATTTTTCAATCATTGCCCCAAACGTGTCTCGAATATGTTGGTATTAAATCTGGCAACTCTAATCGTAACAGATACAAGGCGTGTTTTTTTAGTTGAACTTCTTGTATGGTTCACCTTTCCTCCTTTTTTTCTTGAACGTGAAGAGAAATGGAAGAAACATAAACTTCGCAAGAAGTTCAGTTAAAAAGAACAAGGCCATGGTAACACATGAAGGCGAATACGTGTGGAACATTAGAATTTTTATGAAGTGGGGGGGGGGGAGGGGATAAAATTTCAATGGGATAATGGGTGTTCGGAAAATCACCGTTCCGTGGCTGTCTCGGGATTTCTCCTTGGGATCTTTCCCACTTTCCTTTTAGATGTTTAGCGAAGTAGTATTTGTAGTAAAGCTGATATAGACAATTTATGATACAATAATAAACAGTCTGGGTATATATTTGCACAAGATATCTTTCCTTAAGCGTAATTTCTCCGAACTGCATGCCCTTTGCCCAAAGAATCTTTCATTTAATTTTAAATTTTTGTCTCAATAAATATATCGTAATTTATATCGTCACCCCTTCAATATTCAATGTCGTCGTATGAGTTTTAAATTAGAATCCGAATAAAATCCACTTAAAATTAACTGAAGAATATAATTTCACATAACAATGTGGACTATTATCTTTGTTGCGATTCTTAAATTTTCATAAAGCTCTTCATTCTTTGTAAGATGACTTAAGATTGATTGAGAAAAATTTGCAGTTTAAAGGAAGCGCGCTTAGAGAACAAGAGACATCCTGTATTATAATACAATATGACTCTTAAAATATTATTTGTGGTGAAAATGGGCGGAAAAGTATGTTTTCTCTGAGTTTTAGATATGTTTTAGAATAGATTCGAATATCGCTCGAGGAAAGATAAAGTGAAAGTGATAATAGTTAGATTTACTGCGATCGAGACAGCAACACGGATCGCGATCATGACCATGTATATGTGTATATATATATATATGTATATGTATATATAATGTATATACACACTTGTAAATATGTATATAATATGTGCAATTGTATGTGCAATATATTCTGTGATTACACGATCGAGATGCGATAATATCTTACACGTGCGTGTGTACTGTCGATGCGAAAAAAAAATTAATTAGATTACAAAGGATATCTTCGGTTGGGCAACGGCGAACAGACGCTTCGTGCGGTGTCGACGCGAGTGTGACTCGCTTATCATGACGATGGCGATGACGTTTGAATGACCAAGATTTCGCACTAACGATCTTTCCCCTCGTCTTCCTAACCGCGTCGGAAACCACGAAGTCTCCGACCGAGCCGAGAAATAATAATGATCGCGAGTAAATAGTGTCGGTCGATATCCGAGTAGCAGCAAGAACAGTATTTCGTCACATTACGTGCATTTGAAGAGGCGAATAAACAAGAAAGGCATTACTATTTCTACTCTCTCAGAGAGACAATCGTCTTTAGTGCTCACTTTGATATTTAACATTCATCAGATGAATATCGCTAGTTATCCAAATTCCACGATATATGTATAATTTTTTTTATCTCGTACATCTCCATTCGTTCATTCGCCCCTTCTTGTCACACCGAATATGTATCATATATATATCAATGTCGTATTACTCGAATAAAGACCAGCAACGAATCACAGTCAAACGAATGCTGTACACGTGCCGGATTTCCACCCGCGTGATTCCGTCACGCTGTATATATATTTACGCATATGTATACAACCGCATATATTTAGCTACGACTTAAAATTAACAGTATTTAAACTCTGTCTCTCTCTCTCTCTCTCTTTCTCCCTCTCTTCCTCCCCTTCTGATATATAATGCGATGATATGGCACGTGGTGTGTGTATCTGTATGCATGTGCAATGATTTAACGATGATATAACTCTAATAGGTCCCTCTCTCGATCATCTCTCTTTTCTCTCTCTTTCTCTCTCTCTCTCTCTCTCTCATCATTTAACTATAATGTTTCCCCCGTAATTATCTAACTAATCGGATTAAAAATCCCCTGTCTCCCTCGCTTTTATACCGCACTTCGAAATCCCGTCTGTATACATTCGATTATTCTCTAAGTATATGCAAGAACTCATTGAATACGTAAATGTATAATAAATAATAAACGCGGAACCGTATTCTCACGGCGCAGTTAGCGCTTGAAAACACGATCGTCCGAGTTTTAATTTCATTTCATTTAATTACAGGTCGCCTTTTTTAACGTCAACGTGACGCGAGATTCAGGCGGTCGTGTATTCACGGCTAAATACGCCGTCGGTACGCGGACTCGGTATTGGCCATCGCGACAGTTAGATCTTTAGTATTAACGCGAAACGATTAACGAATCACCGTTAGAATCGATGATTCTTCGACGTGTAAGAAATAGAATGTTTTACAACCCAAGGAAGAGAGACGTTACGTCTTTAATTTTTATTCGCTAACTACGTGCGGCACGATATCAATGAATGATGCACGATATATCCTTAAAACGAGGCAAGTCATACTGCATATATGGATCTCTATATATCTAGTTGAACGGTGCGATCGATGCGAGCCGACGTCCTCCGTGAATCGCATCTCACTATGCATTGATGTCACCAGGATTGTCAGGATTTTCAGAGGCAACTCGCGCTTGCTCGAACCGCACAATCGCCGTCCGATACGGCGGAATATCGAATCGATCGTGAGGACAATACTGGTATTCATCGGGCGATCGTCGTTCGCTACGATGAGGATGTTAATAATGACAATGATGATCCGTTTTCGGAGATGAGAAGCGTAACGACGGCGCGTGCGTTCGGAGCTTAATTCGATCGTGTGAATATGGAGTCACACAAGCGTTATCCCACGTATGTTTGTGTATGTGTGTGTGTGTGTGTGTGTGTGTGTCGATGTGTACACGTGCGTATACATTTTGTGTATCGTGTATGTGGTGTTATATACATATATGTGCATCCAGTTCGCTGGAGAACAACGCGGTCGGTGTGAGTATGAACGAACGAAAACGATTTATCGATGAAGATTCGGTACTCGGGATATTCTACGCAGGTATTCTTTGTGTTGAATGTGCGTGTTTTTTATACTCGGATACAATGACTTTTTTGGGTCACCTTGCACGCTCGCGGCCTGCATAGCGGCGACGTGTCATCGAAATCTCTCCCCTACCGTCTTTATAATTCTTTCTTCCGCTTCGTTCGCCTTCTCGCTTGAAAAATCGAAATCTTTCCCGGACAATAACGGCGCTTTCCGTGAGACGACGAAGCCTGCTTCCTCTCATCGCTCTCATTAGTCGTAATTACCTAATAAATCACGCAGATGATACGCGCAGAAAGTTACGCGCTCCGCGTTTCGCGCGAGTTCATCGTGCCTCCTCGCGCCTATTACGAGTTTACTCTTAATACGCTTTTACTTACGAAACACAAACATCCCGTCTTGTTTTATATATTTGTTAGGTACATTACATATGTGTCAATACGATTTTCAAGCATAGTATTGTCAACGGTTGTGTATATCTTTTATTTTCTCTCCTTAATTTCCCTCTTGTTATGTGGATCTTTCTCTTCTCCTTGCTAAAAAAAAAAAACTATATCTCGTTCGCTTATAGCGATCTGGAGTCTGCCTTTCCGATCGTGATTCTCTACGTTTTTCGTCGGTTGGACGCAAAAGTTTGCGGCAATCACCCCTTGGGAATCTCCCTTTGATGCGAACGAGAAGTAAATTCATTTCATTCTTTGTACAATTTTCTTACGCTAGAAAACCAGAAAATAACGACGGCCTGATTTGCTGATAATAACTTGCCTTTGATCTTCCAAGATGATTATGAATTATTCCAACCAAAATATCAAACGTAAAAACTTATTTACTTAAAATTGTAATTATCACTCAGAGGACTGAGAATGATGTAAAATTGTGAAAAATATGTTTTAAGAAAAGGCTGACATAAAATTATCTCTGGTTTAAGCATAAATTACTAGTTAATAATTTTTTTCAGATCTTTGCTCAAGTTTGTCGAATGCCTGGATTCTTTTTCATTTGAATTCAATTAATAGGAGCGAAAAGCACTTTTGTCGTTATGCGCTACATACTTTTGCGTCCTGTATCTTCGCATTTGTATCTCCTTGCAGCTGATAATACACGCGGATGAAGAGTTACGATTTGTCAATGCGGTACACAATGTGTTCCAGGTTTCGCCCATCTACGGACTCTCCGATCAATTCCGAATATTTTTCCTTAACGAAACGTGTTAAGGCAGCGATAAGTTTTTAAACTGTAAGATGGATAAAAAGTCTAAGAATTTCAACGAGCGGTAGAGATGACGGAGCCTTAATCTTTATTCAATTCGGAGCGAATTTTACTTTCACATTATTTTTACTTGAGGCTTAGACGTATTTAATATTAGGAAGTTGTGGATAAAACTATCGCTAAGGAAAAATCAACTGCGAATTGGTCGCGGAATCAATAGATGAAAGGAAATGCAGACGAATCTGAATCACTCTGTATATATGTAATATATATATGTGTAATATATATATATATATATCTTTTTCTTTTTCTTCCGTTATTATCTCGACAAGACTCCTCGGACGTTTACAGAGAATAGAAATATGGGAATGTATTTAAAGAAGAAAAATACTGTTGTTATGTTTAGGATCGGTGTAATGTTGTAGTCGCATCTATTTTTTTGTTGTTGTTATCTGTAATTTCCAATTTCTGTACAATTTCTACCTTCCGCATGCGCGGATTCCGTCTGCAGGTCTCCCCTCGTACGTGTACTTGTATATGTTTTCTTTGTGCGTGTAAAGTGTAACGTGTCAGTGTTCTCTTTAAAGGGTAATTATCACAGAATACACGAGATATTTTTCATTAAGCTTACAAGATATTAATCGAAGCGGAGAGTAGGAGGAAAAATTGACGGCCGGCCCCGTCGACGGCCGCGGTGATTGCGGTGGATCTGCGACCGGGAGGAACGAGTATCGAGGTAATCGTCTGGGATTCGTCCCCGTCGACGAGGCCGATCTGAGTGCCGAATTCGCCAGCCCTTTTGTATTAAGTAATGTACTTAGTGTTAGGCAGCGGAGAAAATAGACACTTTTACACTTTTACAAATGAAGATGGTGGCGAGATCGCGGACCCGTGTTTTTCTTTCCCTCAGCTTGAAATGTCAACGGCAGATACAGATGCAGATGCTTTATAATCTCTGAAATGAATAACTGATCTCCGAATTGAAGTTAAAAAAAAAAAATAAATCTAACATATTTTCAGATATCTTATATCATTAACGGAAGATGTAAGAATCGTGTGCTAATGATCTCCCATTTTTCCTTTTGAAAATATTGAAACAAATTAAACAATTTAAACTTAGCGAATGCAAGTGATTAATTTCCGATTCACTAATGTTAATTAATTTTTCTTAATTTCAATTTCCTTAGGTTCTTAAAGAAGTAGATTCGAACACACTGTTACATAGAATTCTTCCATTCATGGCCGCTCCGATGTGCTCAAATTTGGTAAGCACCTGCAGCTGAAATAATCGTTCGCTCTTTAGATGAGAGACTCTCGTCTCTCTTTCTCTATCTGCCGATCGAAAATCCCGCGCTCGCAGCTACATCAGCAGTTTTAGACACTATACACAATACGTAAGTATAATCTAGACGTACTACGTAGTAGAAACTTTTGAATATAATAGCGAATATAATTCTCCGGAGTTGTGTTGTACCTGCCCCGCCCGACTCTGCAGCCCTGGGCTGGACGTTAACTGGATTCATCGGATACGAGGTCACGTGCCCCTTCGAGTTTCTCTCACGGGAGGATCCGACCGAAGCTTCGTGCGATCGTAGTAGATGTGGCGAAGAGCATACCGATCGTTTTCCATCCGCTTTCGCCGCTTCGCCCGATACGAATTCCCCGACAAGAGAGATCGGCGAGAACGCAATAGATGTTTCTACGGACGGGCGAACGTCCGCGGTGCACACGAGGCAAGATGAACAAGACACGCTGAAGCTAGACGGTGGCAATAGTTGTACTAATAATAAGTAGTCCAGTGCGCGCCTCGTGTCGTATTCGGAAATAGGCGTAAAAAACAGCGATAGCTAAAAAGGAATCAAAAGCTACGGTATAATTACTTGCGCGTGCCGCAAGATTGCAGAATAGCGCTGTTAAAGTTCACGGATGTTACTCGGATAGCTCGAATATTATCCAACTCGCAATTTTGATAATATCTCGGGGTAAAAGTAACCGGCGCCTACACTTATAGATAATACTCAAAGTACTCGAGTATCCGAGTACCGACAGCATGGATTACCAGGGAGTGTAAAGTTCAATTTCGTAGGCTCGCTCGCCAGTTCATAGAACGAGGATTCGCGTTCGCAGCCCGTGTCGGGCCTGCCTCTAAGTTAACATGCGATCCCCGGAGGCGCGGGATCACGGCGCAGGTGTACGTCTTTCGCTAGCAAACGGCTCTGGAACGGTTACGTTGCTTTCGCGTAACTGTTTGTAACTCGAAGCTTTCGGGCGGATCTCGGTATCATTCGCAACAGCAGCAACAGCATCAGCAACAGTCAGACTCTTACAATCGTTTCTGGTATAATCTTACGAATAAGAACGTAATTTACAATTACAATGCCTTACTAACTTTTTTCTGTTTTTTTTTTTTTATTACTAACGGCACGCCGCTGCGTAACGTCGCAGGGCGTGCCTATTTGGTCGTACGCAATGCTACATTTAAACTGTATATTTAGAAAAAACTTCTTCGTCTCAACAAGGTTGTTCACGTATCTACAGTAAACTCGTCCTCCCGAACAAACGGCCTAGAAACGACGCGGTCGTATCGCGCGCGCGTGTAAACGTAAATGTGTGAATGTGTTTGTATGCGTGGCAAACTTTGGTAAACTTTGCGGTTCCACGTACGCATTTTTTCGATTTCTCTTTGTGTCCCCAGCATATGCGGCCGCGTCGCGATCAAGGGCCCATCATACGCGGACTCGTTTATTCGTCCTCTTCCATTTTCGAAGTCAGTCTTTCGGCGAACGGCGGCGCGTCCGATCGAGAGAGTCTCTCTGTCGCCTCCTGCGCGAAGCACCGTACTTGAGTTCTTCGCGGTGTTAATCTCTCGTCCTATCTTACGTTACGAATATTACCAAATATATTGCGTACTGGCAGCACTGTTTTCACGTTTCGCGTCTTTGTCCTAGCGTACACACACTCTCTCTCTCTCTCTCTCTCTCTCTCTCTCTCTCTCTCTCTCTCTCTCTCTCTCTCCTTCGTATCTCTTCGTCTCCCTCTGCGTCACGCCTACGACACACCCACGAAGAAGAGTCCGATGTGTCTTATGTAGTACTGGAGTATCGTTGTCGAGCTCCGCTTCCTCCGATATTTATATTTTAGCTCTTTATAAATGCAAGAGGGAGGAATCACTCTTTTTTCATTATTTTATTGTAATAGTACGCAGGACTAACGCCAAGTCGAACGCGGGGTTGACCTAGCGCGTCGTCCTATCTCGAGATCTGCGGAAGATGATAGTTCCCGGTGCGTCGTCGCTGTCCAGGGACGGGGGGTTGAAGCTTTGTGTGTGCGTGTGTGTGTGTATGTGTGTGTGTGTGTGTGTGTTTTTATATATATGTGTGTGTATGAGTCTCGTAAAAAAGGGAGAGGAATTACGCTCGACTGAAACTCCACAGCGCGAGGAAAGATGGAGAGAAGAAGCTTCGCGGTAAATCAAATCCCGTTGCTAGGATTGTCCCTCCTTAGATCGTGCGCCTCTTAGCGAAGAAAGGCGGAAGGGTTTGGGGCGATCGTTTTCGCCGGATGAATCGCGCGAATTACTCTCTCTCGCGGAATCTCGTGAAAGGTTTCGTTCGCTTGTGGCACCGAAGGCATCAAATGCTAAGCCCCCTTTGGACGGCCTCCTGCTTCTCTTCCTCCTTTTCTTTCTGCTCCTTTTTTTTTTTCTTCTCCTCTTCGGGCTCTTTCCAAGCTCGAAGTACTCGAGTCGCTTCGCTATCGGCTTATTAACGCAATGTCGTATCTCCTCAAGTGGGATTCGGCAGCAGTGTCTCCTGCCTGATGTCGCTCTTCAGCTTCACGAACTCCTTGGCGATCTCGTCGTTGTTGCGCTGCGAAAGAATGCGCAGGATCGTCCAACCGGTCTCGTCCATCTGGATACGCTTGCCGAGGGACAGCCAACACGCGCACGAGCCCTCCTCGACGATGTCCTTAAGCTGCATCACCGCGACTCCGACGAGCCTGTCTTCCCTCGCGAAGCAATAATCCTTCACGCAGATGTGCAGCTCGTAGAAGTCTAGCTGTTGTTGCTCGTTACCGATCATACTAGGAACAAAGATAAGGCAAAAGTTGGAGGAACTTCGTGCTTACGAAAATATAAATTAGTAATTATTGATAAATTAAATTCTGCGTCGAAAACTTACAAGTCGAAGCTCTCGTTGAATTGCGGCGACCAGTTATTGCTCTTCGATTTCGTCGATTGTTTCCTCTTCTTACCAGTAAGATGCGGTCCAATTAGATTCACTTCAACATACGGCCTGAACATGCCTGATGCCAATTGCCACTTCAGATCGTTCGCGGCCACAACTAAAAAAATGAAAGGTTTTTTTTAAATTTAATTATCGACGAATAAATTATTATAATTAATTAGCATCATCAACTATCAAAGTTATACGATTAATTATAGAAATTCTATGAGAGTAAACAGAAATCTATACCTTTGACGGTGACTTTCTGCTCTCCCGTTCCCGGATGTGTAAAGAGATCCACCTGAATGCTCACTTCACCCACCGAACCCTCGTCCGAACCGGCGGTATCTGGAACTTGAAGAGGTTACAGTTAAAATTTACGCTCGAGTCACGA